GAGACGAGCAGAACCAGAGACGAGCAGAACCAGAGACGAGCAGAACCAGAGACGAGCAGAACCAGAGACGAACAGAACCAGAGACGAGCAGAACCAGAGACGAGCAGAACCAGAGAATAGTGGAAAAGCAGTGAACAAACATGAACGTAAGGTGAAAATGTGGACCTTGTGCCCCTTTTGCACTGTCCCTAATCAGCCTCAACTCTGCTCAGCCCTGCACACCCCTACTCGGCCTGGCTCAACTCAGCCTGGATTTGCACCTGCACTTTAGGACTGATTCTGGAGGCGTGTCCAGAAGAGTTCTGCTATGAGTTACTCAAAGCAGTCTGCTCCTCAGATAAATAAGATAAAATTATTTTTTTTATATATGAATGTTTCTGTTAACTTATTTTATATTGCTTTTTTTTCTTTTTTTTTCAACCTTTATTTAGACAGGTAAATCCCATTTAGCATCGAGGACTCATTTACAAGAGAGACCTGAATATTCATATATATATATATATATATACATATATATATATGTATATATATGAATATTTCTGTTCAGTGCCCTGACACGACTTCTGTTGTGACTTGGTGCTGTATAAATAAACTGAACTGAATTAAATCTGATGAACCAGATTTTACAAAAACATTTAGAGAGCAGACCTGAATGGACATGTTGGTGAAGGAAACAGAGGATGAGGAAGTGATGGGTAGGTTTGGTGTCAAGGAAAGAAACCAGGAAGGACAGATGGTGGTGGATTTCACCAAGAGAATGGAAATGGCTGTAGTCAACACCTGTTTCCAAAAGAGGGAGGAGCATAGAGTGACCTATAAGAGTGGAGGAAGGAGTACACAGGTCGACTACATTCTGTGTAGAAGAGGAAACCTGAGGGAGATTGGAGACTGTAAGGTTGTGGCAGGGGAGAGCGTGGCCAGGCAGCATCGGATGGTTGTGTGTAGAATGACTGTTGTTGTGAAGAAGAGCAAAAGAGTCAAATCAGAGAAGAAGACCAAATGGTGGAAGATGAAGAAGGAAGAATGTTGTGATAAGTTCAGAGAGGAGCTGTTAAAGGCTCTGGGTGGTAAGAAAGAGCTTCCTGATGACTGGACTGCTACAGCAACAGTAATTAGAGAGACAGGTAGGAAGGTACTTGGTGTGTCATCTGGACAGAGAATGGATGATCAGGAAACCTGGTGGTGGAATAGAGAAGTGCAGGAAGATGTTCAAAGAAAGAGGTTAGACAAGAAGAAATATGACAGAGAGAGGACTGAAGAGAGGAGACAGGAATATAAGGAGATGGGACGTAGAACAAAGGGAAGTAGCTAAGACAAATCAGAAGATGTATGATGAGTTGTATGGGAGACTGGACACTAAAGAGGGTGAGAAGGACTTGTACCAACTGGCAAGACGGAGGGATCAGACTGGAAAGGATGTGCAGCAGGTTAAACTTACTAAAGATAGGAATGATAATGTTCTAACAAGTGAGGAGAGTGTGACGGGAAGATGGAAGGAGTACTTTGAGGAGCTAATGAATGAAGAGAATGAAAGAGAAAGAAGAGTAGAGGTCATAGAAACTGTGGACCAGGAAGTGGGAAAGATTAGTGAGGGTGAAGTCCAGAAAGCTCTGAAAAGAATGAAGAAGGTGAAGGCAGTAGGACCTGATGACCAGTGGAGGTTTGGAAATGCCTTGGAGAGATGGCAGTGAGGTTTTGGACTCAAATATTCAATGACATATTTGAGGGTGAGAAAATGTATGAGGAATGGAGAAGAAGTGCTGGTGGCCATTTTTAAGAACAAGGTGATGTACAGAGTTGTAGCAACTACAGGGGAATTAAGTTGATGAGTCACACGATGAAGATCTGGGAGAGAGTTGTGGAAGCAAGACTTAGACGAGAGGTGACTATCTGTGAGCAGCAGGATGGTTCATGCTGAGAAAGAGCACCACAGATCCATCTTTGCTTTGAGGATGATGATGGAGAAGTCAAGAGAGGGTCAGAAAGAACTCCACTGTGTCTGTGGATTTAGAAAAAACATCTGACAGAGTCCAAAAAAGTTCAATCTGGTCCTCTGGACATTCAAAAAAACAAAACAAAAAAAATGTAGAAACATTTCGTCTCTCATCCGAGAGACTTCCTCAGTCTGAGGTGCTGTATTCAGCTCAGTCTCTTAAATAGCACCTTCTCAGAGTGGATCAACCAGTTTTGCTGCTGACAACCAAAACCAGCTGATCACATGGTCAAGAAGGACCATCAGCCTAACAATGGATCATTAGCACCTGATGGCTGTTTACTGTTCACAGAGGGCTGAGTGATACTAGCAATCACAGCATTGTAAGAGGGGGACAGTTGAACCTGGAGGCTCCGCCCCTGTTTAATGATGGACGGTTTCTTTTCACAAAGATGGCCTCCTTTACTCCTCTCTCAAACCATCGTTCCTCTCTGTCCAGGATGTGAACATCATCCCTGAAAGAGTGACCGCTGGCCTGGAGATGAGTGTAGACCTCAGAGTCCTGGCCTGATGATGTTGATCTTCTGTACTGGTCCATCCTTTTGGCCAGTGGCTGTTTAGTTTCCGCGATGTAAGACTGATCACCCTCCTGACACTGAACAGCATACACAACATTACTCTGTTTGTGCCGGGGGACTGGATCTTTGGGATGAACCAGTCTTTAATGTATTTTGGGGTTTAAAAGCCACTGGGACGTTATGTTTAGAAAATAAACGTCTCAGTTTCTCTGATACCCCCTCAACATATGGAATGACCACTGGTCTGGGTCTGGGTTCCTCCTTTTCACCTGATGCTGACTGGAGTCCTGTTTGGGTGCATCAGGCTATCAGACAGAGTGCTGAGGGAGGAGGTGTGGTGTTACATGAGGAAATCTGGAGTGGCAGAAAAGTATGTTAGACTAGTACAGGACATGTATGAGGACAGCAGGACATGTATGAGGACAGCAGGACACAGAGGACAGAGTGAGATGGAGGAGGACTCGCTGTGGAGACATCTGAAGAGGGAAAAGCCAAAAGAAGAAGATAATTAAAAATAAAAGCATTTTTTAAAGCTGGTACACAAATGGATATTTTTACAACCTCTAACTCTGAGCAGACACATTATGTGACCCCCCTGTGCTCACTAGCGCCCCCCCACAGGTGTCGGGGCCCCCCAGATTGGGAATCGCTGCATCAACCAACCAGGTTTTACTTCCTACACAAAGCTGGAAGCCAAACCTCGGGCATGTCCAAGCGCAGCTGTCCGATGGCGAGTTCAAAGATGGCGCGAGCTCTGTCCACGTCTCCCAGGATGGTCTCCAGCTCCGAGAACTTGATCCAGGTGGTGCAGTTTTCAGGAGTGAACTCCAGGTACTTCTCGTAGAGTTTCCTGCAGCGGTCGAACTCACGGAGCTGCAGCTCCAGCTCGATGTAGCCCTTGAACAGTTTGTTCTTCGGACATTTCCCGATGGCTGTGCCCTGCCGGAAGAAAAGGGAGGGGCTTTAACTCCAAGTCAGAGCTGATTGGACGAGATGAGTTCAGTTCATGGTTTGTGTCAGACCACAGTCAGCCTGTACCAGTACATGGCTGGTTTTACTGGAACACATGGAAGCTGAGAGCTTCATCTGAGACCTTCACTGATTCTGAAATCAGCTTCTCTCTGCAGGTTTGAACCCTCATTTGTGTTTTTAAACACCCCAGGTCTTCAGCGTGGATTAAAGCAGAAAATAATCTGTTGACTGAAACGTTTCTATACCTACAGATTATCTGGGCTTAAATATCCGTCTGTTAACGTTAATATTTATTTAGATTAACTAAAGCAGCAGAAACAGGCTCTCTGTGTGTCTCTGTCTGTCTCACTCAGTCTCTCTCTCTGTGTCTCTGTCTGTCTCACTCTCAGTGTCTC